CATGCAGACACAATAATAGAAAATGCAATTATTTTATTCAACATTTTTCACTATCATCGTTATCTTCTTCTTCATCATTTCACCTTCTTCAAAACTTAAATCTGATAATTCGATGATTATCGTGGAATTCCGCATCTCCCACATGTTCGCCTCTGTACAGTACGAAGATAAAGCGCTTTTATAGAGACAACCATAGTCAACGGATGTAGCACCTAACTTTTGCAGAGTTCTGGTAAAAAAATGAAGTTACTAGTTATTCAGGTCTATAATAATCCCAATCCATAACAGATAATGATCTGTTGCCTAAACCAGCAGTTTATCTACGAAATCTGACGGGTCAGACTGTCCGCTGCTCTAGACTAAATGAACTATGCTCTAACCTTTTAGGAAAGTGTGATTTCTTGAATATCATAAAAAGAGATTTTTTTAACAAACCTTTTCGACTGAGGTCAGTAGTGCCAGTGAAACGACAAAAATACTTATTTGATAACTAAGCCTAAGTCTTAACTAGCATTATGCCTCTAAACATTACTTTTTTGATTTTTGAGTACTTCTTTCGTACTTTGGTGATCATATTGAAAACTGCATAAAAACACAGTTTAATCCTACACAAAGCAAGCAGACTGGTCAATCGGGTGATTAACAAATATCAATGTTTTCACGGGTCTTCTTCAAAGTGAACAGAGTTGATTTCCACGGTTCGGTTTCACAGCTGCGACGATCACATAACGAACTGCAGAAATCGACGCTGCCTAACCAGAAGAAGGACCGTGAAACATTAGCCGAAACACTAGCACTTGTTAATCACCCAACTGATCAATTTGCTTGCGTTGTGTATGCATTCATAAGCGTGTTTTTGTGCAACTTTCTATACATTATGTTCCCATTTTGTCTTATTGTCACTTCAAATGACTTTACCAGCTCAGAAACATCGTTAGACGTGCCTTCTGCAGTAAATTTGGCAAACATCATGATGGTACTACAGTCCATACAAGAATCTCACCAACATCTTAACACAGAGATCGAGTGGAGACACCATGCATTTTTATAAATACAGCTGACTGTCCATTTTTCAATGGTGGTTATTCAAGTCACCCAAAAATGCAACAAATAATGCATAAAATTAATACATGATGCTTCATGCTTCTTACGGGATTGCTTCATATGTACACTTTAGCATACAAATAACTGACGTTTCGAGCCATAGTTGACTAGTTCTCAAGGTACAATAATACAAACAAATATGCACGGTCAAATTGCTTAGGCACAATTTGGGATTCAGTACTCATCAAAGCAGAATGCGAAACCAACTCGGCTGTTGTTCAACACTGTGTCGTCGAAAATCATGAAGCAGAATGAGAGCATGTCAAAGCAATCTGTGCGGCAAAAGACTTTAAATTTACAAAGATCAAATAAGCTGTTTTCATTCGGGCCAACAGATGTATGAAAAGAGATGGTTGCATGAATATGAGCAATATTTGGACTTCTGATGCTTATATAGCGTTGTCTAAATTCAGTTCCTGTACTGTCCATCAAAGACCACAATTTGAGCTAAACCCGACCTGTTGGCAATACTGCACCTTAATAACGAGCCGTCAATGAAATGTCGGTGATCTGTGAAGTAAAATATATATCAATCAATCCCGTAAGAAACATAAAGATCAGGGAATTAATCGCTCGCGTAACGAAGAAATCATTTCAAAGTTCATAACTAGTAGTTATAACATACAAACTGGTCTTGGAGAAGTTATGCACTTGTAACACAGAAATGTAAAAATACGAGCAAATTATTACGTGTACAATGAGAAAGCGCGCGCCTATCTTTTACAGATATGCGAAAAGATTTGGATGCGTCAGTGCAGAAACGATCTTAATTCCAATGGGCAATCGAGGTATGGTGATGACAGGTAAATTTACAAAATTTATTCGAATAGACAAAGCAGCTACTGTTAACCTAACGTGATATTCTATACACATAAAACCAGGAAACTTGGTCGACTTCGACGTTGCGTACTGTGACTGCATACAATGAACTTTCGTTTAAGCCAATTCTGAGTCTCCCGCAGAGACAGCATCACACCGTACATTAAACAATGGTGGAAGTAATCCTTAGGAAGAAAGGAATTTTATGTCTTCCTCTCTATACCAACGAAACAGATCGATTATTGGGTTTATTACGCCTTCAGTTGAGAAAGTAGAGCACGGTCAAGTCTTAATTAACAGAACTTAAAAACGCAAGTATCATCCTAAATTCAACAATTGCAACCTGCTGGCTATTCACCGAGCACGCAGTGGGTCAACAAAAATATTACCTTACACAAACCCTTCATTACCTGTCGTGGTTAATTCTTAGCTGGATATCACAATTTACCAGAAACTGAATGCAGCGGTAATATTTCATAATAAAAGTTAGTTTTACGTCAGATTATCATCAGGTATGGCCCCCTCCAAACGTTTACGCTGTTAACAATCCAGAAAGTAACGTTTATTTCTAAAAATTAGATTGAAGATTAAGCCATATATTATAATTTAAAAAAAAGTTTCTAAATATACCAACAGATTCTATTAACCGCTGACTTTCCATTTTTACAAAGATATCACTAATTTAGCAATAAGAGAAAAAATGGGCATACAGATATTACCAGCAAAGTTTGGATAGGCGGCACAAGAGGAAGTGCTAGCAAGAACCACTGCAGGTGAATTATGGAGAAAAAAACAGTATAACATTGTAACAAAAGCTAAACACGGCGAAACAGAAGCAGCAGAGAAATAGAAAGAAATGCATTTCATTAACACCTCCTAAAATTTCTCATAATAAAATAAAATGGAAAAAAATTGTTTTCCGTCCGAAATCTACCTTTCGGTTGACCCGGTTGGCGAACTTTTTCCCATTCTTCCTGACGTCGTTTTCTTTCCTCTTCAATCTCTGCCTGAGTCACGAATTCTGGCAAATCAGACATCGGTTAAGACTGTCTTTCACAAAAGATAAAAAAGAACTGGCAGGAACAGAACGTTTAGAATGACTTCAAAACTCCATTCCTCACGGGAAATTCGTTTTAGTTCTTAGCTGCAATTACTGTTCTATATTACAGATATGCAGGCTATAATGCATCTTTCTGAAATACAGAAGTATACATAAGACAATCCACTCCTTTAACTTAACTATTGTTACAACGGGATAATTTTCTTCTTTCTCAAGTTAAACAATTAGCTATGATTGCAGCAGTAAAGAGAATACTTCAACAATTTACAATTTTTTGACTAAATCATAATGGAGATTCCAGGATCGGTTTAGAGTATGACGACGCATTTTTGATTAACTAATTCTGGACCTTCTTCTGGGTATTCTGCTTATCAGACGTATAAACAACCGTTGACTTGGAGTAGTTTCTCGCAAAAAATATATTCTTGCATATTTGCAAAAAAATTCCATAACCCTTGTGATCTAAAACCTCTCAATAAGGAAATTACTGATCGTTCTGTGGCGGTTACTCACTGATATATCGTATAAGATGGTTCTGATTAAAAAATCTGCCAACCAGTTTTTCTGATACACGAAATCATTGATATTCAGCTGAGTGTAGTTCTACGGCAGATTCATTCTCATTAACAGGACAATGTACCAATGAACTGTTACTTCTGTTGATTACATGTTCGAAATGTTCGGTCATCAATGGGCCAGGTCAAATAAGTTATTCGGTCCATCTACTTTATTAGTAACGTTAAGTTGCAGCTGGAAAAACGACAGATGAATCTCATTTCGTTGGATACAAAAAATTGAAAAAACGCTGTTCTGTTATAGTTCAGACAATTTGAAACGGCACATTTTCGTAAAGGCTGATTAAATGAGTTAAGCCGGTGGCAAAAACTACTCTTAGCCAGATCTCACAAACTTTTTATGGTCAATAAACAATTCCTTTTCCTTGCAAAAAATATGATTAATAAAATTAGTCAGAAAGTGTTAAGACATATTTGAAGCTGCAGTAGATCTTACTGACAGTACTCTACAGGTAGCGTATTGAACAGAAGGCATTTTGCGACTCGAAAAGAGAAGCGGCCATGGAACACGAAGATGAAGTGTTAAGGCATATATTTAAACAAAAATAAGCTTTGCATACACAGTCCGTAAAATATTGTTTCATAAATTTTCGTTCCTATCTTCATCTTCCATCGCCGCTTCTTCTTTCGGGTCGCGGAGGCAGACGCGTCAGGCAGTGCTTCGATCTTGTGCCAGAGTCTGAGCTTCGGCAAAAGACAAATGGAGTCCGGAACAAACTCCTTCCATATGTTTGCACCAGGTTAATCTTTGCCGTTCCCTGGGCCTTTTGCCGGTCGGGTTTGCAAGGAACAGTTGCTTAGCCTTCCTTTCTGGAGGCATTCGCAA